CACTGGCCCTACAATACTCCCCCACCAGATTCAACGGCCGTTTGAATCGGTACCAAACATGTTGGGAGCAGTCGCGCGCCAGAGAGTGCCAAACGAATATTATAAATCCTCCAGGTATTGCTTATCTGTAAAAGAAATGGAAAGGAGGCGGCAGAAACTGGTCGGGAAACAGCGAGTCATAATATGTTAGTAGGACCTTGGTTAAACGTAAAGCGATTAACCATAGAAATAATGAAAAGAACAAAACGTTTTATTGTTCTATCAAGTCGCGCTGAAATATATAGCCTTGACAAGTAATTCAGTTCCTCCGATGACAAACGTTAAGTCTGCCGCAAGAGTAATGATGCTATAGCGATAGTAGGATAAGTGTATTATCAATCGATGTCCTTGTTTGTACTGTCATTAGTTTAAAGTTGTAAGTCGGACAGTGTCGTTGACAGCTATTAATTAGTGTCAAATTCTAGTTATATCTATATCTAGCAGACTAACCGTAAGTACAGAAGTATAACAGTGAAGAGTGGTCGTGATTTCGTTGTGCGAAGCTATTGACCAACTTGTAGTCACAGTTTTAAAAGTTGATGACTGCTGTTACAGTCAGTAAGGGTTGAAGGCTACAAATCGACAGCAAAGGTGGCACGATGAAGTCTCTAAAAGATGATAAACGGTGAATGCTGCGTGTTTGTTCGGTTAGTGAACAGAAAAATATCGAAAAGAACATAAGAAAACAAGAGTGTCACTCTGGACTCATGTCAATGATACCCGTGAAAAACGCTGTCAGTGTTGGGATAGAGGCGGCAATATTGTTTTCAGTTTGCAGGAGATTCGCTCGACTGCATAAACTGATGATTCGCGCGAATGATATTGTCGTCAGACCACCAATTGAACTGGACAGGTTGTAAATCGTCGAGTAGTTGAACAGCCGATTGATGTACCGGAATCATCTGTTAAATAACAGCCACGAGGAAACTATACTTCATAAAATGAAGTACGACATCGAAGTAGAACAACTACAATAGTTCAGATGTATTACAATGTCAAGTCTAAATAATATCGTTCTTACGTATACTGACAGTTGCACTGAACGTTCGTTTAGGTATGATTAGCGTAACAGTTGGATGTGTGAATAAAAACATATACGAAAACTATGGTTGGGTTCGTGGAGAATTTTCGAGGACGTTTAGATATTTTCCAAACCCGTATGGCATGTAAATAAACCGAAAATAGAATTGAAATGACTGTCGTGTAATAAGGAAATCGAGCCGTGATTTACCGTGTGAATTAATAGCAAATACAAGGGGTATAATAAACATTAATTAAAATGGTAACCACCAATGTAACTAAGGTTTAGAGGGTCCAAGTATCGTGGCCATTTCATAAAATGCTGATACAAAGAGCTTATTATCTAGCGTTAAGTGACATATTAAGTACGACAACGTGTGTACTTGGGACATGGACTAAGCGTGCTCGTGTACATGCAATATGTTTTACCACAGTATGTCGACTAACGAGTCATAAATATACATGATTTCGACTAAAACTTGACGGCAGTGACAGAATATATGACTACTTTAATTGAAAGCAACTACGAAATGTTATCACGCATCATAAATATAGTACGAAATAATCTAATGAAATTATGAAACTCGCCTGGGTTACTCTTGTCTTTAAGTAATGAAGTAGGCAGTAGTTTGAATCTGGATTATGTACGAGGTACTGTTGATTAAATTTTTCGGTTAACACAACGTTGTAGACTGAATTTGTATAAGTCCAGAATTAATGTAAGCCGAATACATAGCATTACCTGACGAACAGTCTAAACGAGATCTAAGATCGCAGGAAATTTATAGTTCAAACTCACCGTAAATTTCTAGCATTCGTATCCTCTGTTTGGCCATGGAACTCAGCAATTGGAAATTAGGCAGGCAGTGGTAAAAAAAGCAAAACATTCTGGTGGATAGTGGTTAAGCAGAAAGATGAGTTTATAGTCGATAGTTAATTTTGTCTTATTTATACCAGTGGATAAGTTACAAACAGATGTGCGTTCATGTTGCCTTGTGGCTATACTCACGAGTGGTTGATATTTTAACAGACATATTACACAGGAGCATTTACATGATGCTAATGCTTGTTAAAGAACCACGATAGCCGATTATAATCGTAGTTGATTGGTTAGTTCTGTCGATTGAACGAATTATTTAGGTTTAAATGCTAATCAACATTGACATGAAGCAACGAAAGTTCACAGTAACAGATTAACATAGGCGATGATAAAAATGAAAAAGAATAAGTATAGAATACTATAATAAAGATTATAGTGATAGGTTGCGTTATTCGAAGTCTTGCTCACCAGTGTATATCACCAACATAGATGATCTATGTCGAAATGATTGGAGGCCTACTCGAGTTAGACGTGAATAGTGTGACGAACCAACTAACGTCGAAGTCACACCTCGTGGTCAGCACCTTACGTGGACTACCCCCATTGACGTAACAAGGTACTATAGATGCTTTGAAGACTGTACAACACAGAGGACGTTATTACAGAAATATATTAGTTAAGGTAGATACAAGCGAAAGTAAGACCACTGCCGCATGGGCCAGTCCATGGCGTATGAATAACTAATGCGCGTTGCTTGTACATGACCTTGGCAGGGAGCGATGATCTGTCCGACATTCAGTGATCAAACTGCCGGATGATTTGGCTAGGGCTCAGTGACATTTCACTGGCCCTACACTAGCATTCTCTTCCAAAACCTGACTATCCGAAAACCCATTAGCCGGAGATTTTCTTCCCTGTTTTGCCGACAGATTTCTAGTTCAGCTGGTGCTTTCTTCCTCTTTATTCTATCTTCGAGAGACATATCAGGTCTAACTCGGATGTCAGAATTGTCGTGACAACGAGCGCTACTTAACAAGAGATCCCGTTTCTTCTCTGATCCTGGGATTACCTTAAGGAGTTTGCATGGTCAGGGCTCAACACTGTCCTCGGTCCTCTTGCCTATTCTAATGAGTTTCTTGACCTGAACTCCTTTGGAGTTATCTGGTAAGATACTGCGAATATATTCTCCCAGCTTCTCTAAGTCATCTGCGTGTCTCATTTTGGGATCATGGTCGTTTGACTCCAGCAATTTGCTCACAATAATATTCGATGATATTAGATCTGTAGAATTATGGCCTACTATGATATTAGTATTGCGTTAATAATAGACCTAATCCTAAAATTGTAAACTTGTCATGATATAACTGCCTAATCTATTATATCTTACGTGAAAGTCACATTATCGTCTACACAAACTCATTGCATCGTAACAATCACCAATACATGGTGGAGAACAAGCGTAGGCTAGAGATAGAACAATATATTTAATATGAAAAATAATATAAGGTAACATTCAACAGGGACCACGCCTGCAAGGCCGAGTTATGCCATTCGACCAACTCCAATTAATTCAACTCCTTGTTCCTGCCTTCTCCATCGTTAGGTGTTTCTCCGCGTTAAATATTGAATATCTATTTTCCCGATTGTCTCGTGTTCAGCTTTGAGGATTGTGTGGTTATGGTTCAATGCCACTACAGATTCTCCTTCTCAGTCATGCCAGCGTGGGTTTCTCTCTTACTATCAGATTTTGGTAGTGCATTTTGTGACTCACAATGAGAGTGCAACAATGACTTGCCAACCAGCTGCGTGCTGCCTACAGCTTTTTTCTATTAGTTTAGTTTTCTCCGTACTGTAGTCAATTTTTCATCACTCAGGACACCGGAACTATTTGGAACGGTGGCGGTTTTATACGGATCTTTAATTCCCACTAGAAGTGCATGATTACTAATGTCAATTTCATGTGGCACAGTCGGGTGTTTGAGGCATCTCGTAACAGTCGGTACTTCACTGACATATTCGTCACTGTCAGTGCTCGTGTTATCAGAGCATGCGCCATCGTTTTCTTACAGGCCAAAGCCAATAGGTTCATAGCCTCCTGTATTAATAACGTCTTATTTGCACAGCAAAACATGCAAAGCTAATGTGAGTTAGGCTTCGAACATCTTTTGTATGCGGTGGGAGTCAAACGGGTACACATCTTATGGAACGACTTTTGCATTAATCACACACTGCATTCCTTCCTCCACAGGGAACAAGCAGTTTGGTTGTCCCCGGTTGTGAGTGCTACCAAGCAATTTAGTCAGATTAAGGTGTAAAACACAATATGATCACAATATGAACACAAGTGTCAGTCGATGAGTAAAAGGGTACCACAAGACAAACTTAAGCAAGATTCCAAACCTTAACTAAAGTGATTTAATATAGACCAAGATTGCTTTTGATGCAACAATTACACAAAGGCAAGGATAACCACAACAAGCACAAAATCACTGCCTTTTTTGAAACACGGCCTTGAAGGTCAAATAGCTTTGCAATGATTGTCACATTGGCCTCGACAACTGTCGAATTCAACCTAAAGCGGTGAGTTCGGAGTTGTTGTTTTATGACTCATTTGGAAGCTTATGCTATCAACATCTAGTTTCATTTGTCAGGTTGTCTTAATCTCATACTTGTGTTATTTCTGATGTTTGTCTCTCGCTTTCATCATAAAGTGGAAGTGCGCATCCATTCATATAAGGCTCCGATCTCCCAATTTTGGGGAAATTCGGAGGGGGGGGAAAGCCGGTCTCGTGTTCATTTCATACGTACTATGTTGGTAAGACAGTGTAGACTGTACAGCAAAAATTTCAGCGGCTGCGAAGTCCATAACACAGATACGGTCATCGTACGTTCCCTATATATTTTTGAAGGCTACCAACGACATCAAGATATCCCTATTTTCTTACTTTTAAAGGATATTCCTAGCTGTTTGCCCAAGTCCTAGAGTGTTTGTAACAACTAACTGAAAAAATGAGGGGCTTTTCGATAAAATCACTATTATTCGATACTAACTCAACTTTAGCATTCTAATCTGTTGAATCGACACATCACATTGAATTTGTGACATTTTAATTTGTTCTGGATGACTGGAGCAAGTCATTGGAGTGTTAGTATATCCATAGAAGACTTCTGGAGAGGTGTTGGACCTGGTACTTCACGAGATTTCGTTCATATCTTTTGTCGGTGAAACTCTATTTCATGGACGACCTTTGAACGAATTTTTAAGTGACCTTGAGGACATTAGCCAATCAGAAGAGAGTTAGCATAAAGTAAAAATATATTATAAAAAGATGAATTACAATGGATATTCTTCTTTTACATTATTTAAGAACTTGTTGGGGTTTGATATAGGTTCAGAAGTTTTGAAATCATAGTGCATGCAGTATAAGAACTCGTCCATATGACTCCATAATAATCGTCCTCTGGAGCTGTGGTAGGGTTTTAAAAAATACTTCAGCCTCAACCATATGCCCTCAATGTTGTTTGTATGGACCCCCCGTCGTTGGATCAAAGAAATGACGTTTGTACACCACAACATGATGCACAAAACCAAGTCTCGAGAGGCATCTATACGCTTTCCAATCATCGGTATAGCCGCAGCTAATGTTACTGGAGACTTTATGATCCAATTTGCAACGATTATCATGGTTTGTCTTAGCCTTAGCCGTGACCGGGCAAAAAAAGTGCCAGTTCGAGCAGATTTTTTTCTACAACTTATAGTACAACGAAATACAATGTCATCGCGACAGTCTGCACATCGTGCTGCGGTCATTTAATCGCCGCAGTCACAGACACACGAACTTCTTAATAGTCCCAACTGCTGTAGTCTCTCAACGATCACCTATTCTCTAAAATCTGCTGTAAAACGATCGAATGTGAGCATCTCGCACTGAACTTAGCGCCGTGACCTTGAAATTCCTTAAACACTTCTGATTGGCTCGTCCATAAATTAAAGTCCTACCCTTTTGTCCAAAACCAGTTGGATAGTGTGCTTATTTTACTACCTGGGTGTTGCTGTGATCGCCTTTTAGCACATAATCTATTGTTAACTGCTTATGAAATTTCAGTAATGTTGAATGTCAAAGGTGTTTATTGCCTAAAACAATAACCTTTCACCTGACGTTGATTGTCGTCTCAAAGGGTCGACAGTGAACTACTTACCTATACACAAGTTATTTTCGACGGTTCTAATGGACATAGCTTTCAGTTCACTTGATGCACTGACCCACAATTCTTACTAGCAGTTGTAATACTTGGACCTAAAGCATAAACCCGGGCTGCCAATTTCGGGGAATTTCGGGGAAACTTCTCCAACGTTTGGGGAAATTTTGGGGATTGCGTCTCATTTCCCCAAAATTTACTATAGCGGCTTCCCCAAAATGGGCCAAAGTATCTCCAAAATTGGCAGCTTGGGAATTTACCTGGAATAAACCAAATGTAGGTGACTAGCATATTATTTTTTTGTCTATGTTCTTTCGGTGTGTTAAATAGTGTGCGACTTAGTCATTACAACCATTCGCGTTCTTGTGATAAGCATCCATTGATGTCGCATTGCCCTCTGTACATACCAATATATTTGACGAAGTACTCCGACAACGGACCAATCTGGCCCTTCTGCACACATGTTTAGTGGAAGATTCCACTTCTAGAGTTTCCCCATGTGTGATTTATTTGGTGTTCTCCGCGATCTATCTGAGGATGTTGCTTTTTCTCTTGTGTATGTTAAAGCCTATTCATGCAGTGGCTTCTGCTACACTGCTTGTCTTGACCTGCATTTGTTCGTGTGTATAGGATAAAAGAACTAGGTCATCTGCGAATTCCAAATCGTTTAGTTGCATTTAAGCTGTCCATTGTATTACGTGCTTTCCCTCAGATGTCGAGTTCTTCATAATCTAGTCGAGCATCAGAAGAAAAAGAAAGGAAATGAGTAGGCAGTCTTGTCTGACTCCGGTCTTCACTTGGAGTGCGTCTACCAGCTGTCTTCCATGCATGACTGTTGTAATTTGTATGTCTTCCGGATGATGTTGACGACCTCAGTTACACCATTGTGTCGAAGTTTCCATGTCCTCCTATCCAGTCAGTCAGTCAGCTACAACGTAGGACCAGATACATATACACATCGGTCCAAGTTGCCATACCGCATTAGCACAGCAAGTTGAACACCGGATTCATGGACGTAGTTATTTCAATGGGGGTAATATATAGAAGAAAGACTGCATATAAAAGTATAGTACAGGAAGAAAAAATTAGTTCGTAGAAAGAAAGATATAAAGTGGTTTTAATCTCTTAGTTTAGGAGAAGATAGTGTATGCACCTACGCCACTGTGATCGATTCTGAGCCATGTCACCAATAGTCTCCAACCATTGGTTGCGATAGTCACGCGGACCCCAACCAAGTAGTCTGCATCTACCAACATGGCTCAGACCAGAAGTTCGTGTCTTCAAGCACTGATACCACGTTTTGGTTTGGCCGCCCCTAACTTTCTTCCAACCATCCCCAACCCCGGTTAGCATTGCACGTCATGGTAATCGGTGTTCAGGCATACGCAACACGTGGCCCAACCATCTCAGATGATGAAGATTCACAACCTCTCCTATCTACACTGTCAAATGCTTTTTCATAGTCAAGGTGTATAGCGATGAATTCAGTACAACTGATTGCTTGTCATTGATCCATAGTATAACGACTCTGTTTGTGTACGACCAACCCTTACGGAATCCAGCCTACTGATCTCGAAGTTGGGCGTCTACTAAGTCTTTCATCTGGTTCAGCAACGCCTTTAAAAACGCATTCTGGTACCGATAGTAGTGCGGTGCCTCTAGTTTTCACATTTGCTCATATTTCTTTAGTATCTTGATGAGATATCCTTCTTTCTTTTCTGTCGATACTTGTTCTCCCTCCCAAATCCTACTGAACAAAACATGGAGCATGTTTGCCGTTACTTCTATACCTGACTTCAGTGCTTCAGCTGGCATGTTGCCAGGTCCTGCTGCCTTCCCACTCCTGACTTGTCTGATGGCCATCCTGACTTCCTCAATCATTGGCGGAATGACAGGTATAGGAAGGTCTGTGTGTGCTGCATCGATATCCGGTGGGTTCAGTGGGGTTGGTTAATTCAAGAGTTCTTCAAAGTGTTTCACTTATCTGTTCCTATGTTGTGGATTCTCAGTGACTGGCTTGCCTTTGTCATTGACTGGTCTCTCAGGTTTGCTATATTTCCCTGCCAATTTCTTCATTCTGTCATATAGTTGTTTCACATTTCCTTCTCCTACAGCTTTTTACACCATTGTTGCTAGGTCTTCTACGTATTTCTGCTTGTCAGCTCTTATGCTACTCTTCACTCGCTTGTTTGCTTCAGTGTGCTGAGCTTGTGCCTTGGCTTTCTCTTGTTCAACTGTTAATTGCTATCTTGTTCTCTTGAATCTTATCCAGGGTTTCGCTAGAAATCCATTTGTTATGATGATGCTTCTTGAGGTCCAGCGCATCCTTAAACGCTGAAGCTAGTTCTTCTTTGCTCCCTTCCCATTTGTTCTCTATAGTAGTTTCCTCTTTTTGAATAGGTCTTGTAAGGCTTGGAACCTGTTTCTGCGGGTGTTGTGACGGGGTGAAAAGTCCGAATTAGATTTATTTATTCATTGTGACTTTTATTCAACAGTAATTCCGTTTAATTCAATTTGATGATCACTCAGTATAGTATTTGTTCCGTTTCCTCCTGACATTTAATTCTGTATAACATACGATATTATTGTATTGAGTTAACATGAACTATATTCAACATATGATTTGTTATAACTAAGTATCTTTCATATATGTGATTTTATTCTGATTATTAATCAAATAATGGTTGTACAAACCAATATATACGAGTGTATTTCCGACTAAATTTGTCTTGATTGCTCGTACTACTGGCTGCTTGAGGAGTATATTTCCCCGTTTCGGACTTGCACTTCTCTCTCTAGTTACCGGGGCTGGGACGCATCAGAATAGCTAGCTTATTGGTCTTTGATCACAGTCTTTGTTCCGTTCGCAGACTAGGTGAACTCGTAATCGCTTCAAACATAGCAGAGAGGTATCCTGAATTCGTTGAGTTTGTCAGTATCTCGGAGGAAGTCTGTACTGAATCATTGCAATGCTGTTTCTCCAGTTATCCAGTGCTTCTTTAGCTTCAGTTTAATAGTAACCACCAGGTGGTGATCTGAATCTATGTCAGCTACTCTCTATCTGCTCAGGTCTGCTATTGATCTGAGTTTCTAAGTGATGCAAATATGATTGGTCAGGTCCTTTATAATGTTATCCGGTGAGACCCATGTAGATTCGTCAATGGATTTGTAGGTGATTATAACGTTGCCTACAACCATTGTGTTGAATACACATAAATTTTAAAATCTCTCACCACTCTCGTCCTTTTCTTCCAGTCCATGTCGTCCCATGATTTATTCATACCAGATGTCCATCCCGGCTTTGGCCTTTAGGTTTTTCATCTGGATGGTCAGGTCCTTTCCTGAACACTTCCCCATGATCGACCACAGCCTCTTAGAAAACTGGTTTTTTTAATTACTATTATTGATGAGTGCACATAACTGGATAATATTCCTTGTGATCCCCTCCTTTGTTTTGAAGGATGCTTTGATGGTTCTGTATCCATGAGATTCTCATCCTTTCAGTGCTTTACGTGACTTTTTGAACAGTATCAGAGCAACTTTCTGAGTGTACGAAGCAGTTTCTTCGTGATCAGAGCACAGCAGCTTCTCTTCTGAATTCATTCTTTTATGTCGAATTTTGGTCTAATGGGTTTATCTTATTCATACAACCGCCATTTTGTATCTTCTCATTTCTATTGCTATTTGACTGGTTCTTCCGGTCTCCTACATTGTCCGGACATTCTGTTTACCTAAATAGTTTGTTGTTCCGGTTGTTAGAAGAGGCATCAGCTTCGTGATTTCCGGAGAATCTCGAAACTTCTGTATCAGCTTGAAATTACGATTAATAATAACCTCATAATAAATGTTTCATGGTTTTTTGTATGATATGTATGCTGTGAATGATTTCTCATAATTGTATTTTTGGTGTAATTTTCTGAGTTCCTCATTTTGATTTTCAGTGATGTCCTTGAGTTGTCTTGATGATAGTCGGTGGTTGTCTGCAGTACTCCCAGACGCAAATCAAACACAATCTCATGCACTTTCACTTATATTAGATCCTTTGGCTAATGAACACTATCAATTGTTATTGGGGGAACTTTCAGAAATCAAACTAGTTGGTGGTAATGGTAAGAAGCCTCTTTGAAGAGTGAGTGTTAGCAAAATAATTGCTTTTGACAAGAAATTAACTACTAAATCTTTCTCACTAACTAGCTTATAAGCAAGGCACAATGTGGCTTCGTAGCTAAGTGCCTAATATTGTAAAGGTTTTGATTTTGTCCTGCCACAGTTGTTGTTTTTCACTTATGCGCCACATAAGTCACTTGATTTGTGTGTGGCTTGCTTTACTTGTGCCTCTTGCAATATTTCCTGAGTATTTAAGTGGTCGTGACGAGCCGATTTTACACAGGTGTGCTCTTTTTCCAGATACGCGTCTGTGCTCGTATATTTTGGGATCATCAAGTTAGCAATTCTGAGGTTAAATGCAGATTGTTAGGTGAGTATGATTAGGTAGTAAATCTTCATCGACTGCCTCGACGCGCAATTATAGCTGATATAGGAATAGGATGGAAAAGTTATGGGGCCGGCAAAACCAAACGTGACTACTGGACTAAACAGTGTTGGCAGATACAAACTACCTGGTTGGAGTCCGTGTGATTATCTTGACTAGTGGTTAGAGATTTTGAATAACGTGATTGAAAATCATTTGCAATGGCTCAGGTACATCAACTCTTTTTTTCCTTATATTCTAGGTTTCCAAATTTCTGATAATTTTTTTTTATTTCACTGATTTATATATTCTTGAATTGTATTTCGGATGTCTAATCTTTTCTATGCCCCCGAATGCCCTGGTACGGCCGAAAGTGAGGAGAGTCAGCTCTCCCTCTCGAAATGCTCTCACATGGCCAGGCGTATATAGTCTCTGCCAGGAAAGTCCTACTCACTGCCTTCTCGTATCGGGGGTGTTGTTTACCAAATTAAGAGGATGAAAAGCGAATGTCTGGCGCTTTAACTGGGTTGGTGGACATGGAGAGTCCACCTAGGGGAGTTGGAAAACCCTGACTCCAAACTAATGGTGCACATGGGCTGGCTTCAGGATCCTGAAGGAACAAATGGCGTATGAACCAATCGTTGGTCACCGGCAACCATGGGACTGTATCCCCTTACGATGCTCCACTGCCTTGTGGATCAGACCTTTAGGTCGAAGGCTCCGGGTGTGGCCTCATAAGAAAACCGCTCGCAGCCCTCACACATATCGAATGAGATTTGTGTGACGCATATGTATTTGGTGCCTCCTTGTACCCATATCTTTGTGTTAAAATAAATAAGTAAATAAATCTTTTATATTCCCACTAAACTGTTAATAACCCTACCACCATGGGGTTTACCCTAACAATTTCATCTTGCCGTGTTAATGCGGTATGGTAGCTTGAACCAATGTACACATGCACTATGTTCTACGTTACATTCTGCTGACACAATCGTAAAACACTAACGCCGAGCTACATTCATTTTATTATAGGTATTTTAGAAATAACCTGTTTTTTGCTGTGATTATTACTATTATTATTAATGGCTTTATTCAGTATTATATTTTGGTACAATATAGAAATTCTCAGCACAGGGTATTTCAACAAGTTTCTTACACAAAAAAAGAACGGAAACAAAGACAAAAAAGAGAAAAAAGGTTTAAAAAAATCTGAAAAACTGTACAACTTTTCAAATTAGAGACATGTTAAGAATGCAGTTTATTGACTAGGTAAACTCTAACAACCTGTTTGTCACAGAGTATATTTGCTAGGTAAGGTACTATAGAACTTTTATACTTTTGCTTGCGTGCATGGATTTCAATGTAATTACGTCTCGTTCTACCAGAAGATATGCAAGGAGAAATATAAGAGTGAAGGGGATGGTTAGTATCTGATAAAATAACACCTGCCAGGAGTTTGCATGATTTTAAATGTTTATCCACAACCATATTAATTATGATCTCGAAAGATTCACCACACATCTTGCTAACTGCCTTCAGCACTCTCTGCAATACAGCAAAGTCTTTCCACAAAAGCCCGGGAAAGAATAATGGAGAACAGTAAAGAATAATAGGTAGTATGCAAGAATTGACAAATTGTAAGAGTAAATGACGAGTAATCCCAAGAGCATGCAATCTCTTTATGTAGTAAGTGAGGTGGAAAACTTTCTTCGATAACAATAAAACGTGAGAAGACCAAGAGAGATCAGAAGAAAAGGTGACACCAAGATAATTGACCTTTGACATTGTGTTTATCAAAGAGTCTCCAATAGCACAAGCATTATGGGATCTCGAAATGGTGTTTAGATGCCGTTCATGTCTCATGCCAAAGTGGGATGTAAAGAGGAAGAGATAGGCATACATACAGTGAGGTAATCCGCATATTTCACATAAGTGTTTTCTGTGGAAGATGGCAGATCATGCAGAAAAAAGAGAAAAGAAGAGGTGAAAGAACAGCTCCTTGTGGTACACCTTCATGAGACAGTAGAGACTCTGAACACTTTTCTCCAAATACAGTGTACTGTTCCCTTCCAGAGAGGTAGGAACATAGCCAGTTGGTTATTCAGCTGTCAGTGTTGACGCTGATTAACTTGTTAAGTAAACGTTGTCTTGGTATAGAATCAAAAGCTGAAGTATAGTCCAGAAAAGCGCATCAAACATACTTCTTACCCTTTTCTAAGTTGAACACTGTATTATATAATTATTATTAGTATCACTCATAGAAGGTATGTAACTAAAGAGGCAGACTGTGACATAAGCTGATAGTTTTTGGTGTAGTAATAATTTCGTACTAAAAGTCGGAAATCTGATCTTGGCGGTTGGTTATGCTGATAAATAATCATAGACGTAAATATACTGCGGTAGAAGCTCCACTTGACGAAGTCACTGGTCGATTATGTGTTGTATCAAGAGATACACGTTCCTCGCATCTGGTCCACTAAATAATAAAAATTATGGACATCCAAGGTGACTTGGTTCAAAACAAATCACAATAGTACAGTCGCATTCACTCTATCTTCCATTGCATCTTGAGCATCTCATAACTCTTCACACACTGCCTTTTTATTGTTCTTTTAAACATCTTCCCATTGTTACTGGTTTTATTTTTCGGAAGTGCGGTTTCCTTAACACGTATCAACTCGCCAAAGTGCGCAGATTTAGTAAAAATAAAAAAATATACTGAAAAATGTGTGAAATATGTAGATTTCTGAATAAAAATGTAATAAGTAATATTAAAGATGGATGCATCTGTGCTATCATGATAATGTCGTGGGATTTATGGGTCATGGGGATGTGTGCCAATGTAGAAGTAGCTTGGAAAAAAGCTAGATCTTCAAAAATTCCGACTTCTAAAGCGCCACGAACCCAGATGACTTATCTCCAGCTGTTTTAAGGGATAGCGATGTACTTTTGACTGAGTTGTTCGGAAATATCTAAGAAATATAAAGTATCCCGACACCATGAAATAAAGTGATGGTCGTTTCCATCTTTCAAAAGGGCCTAAGACATTTTTACACCCATTATCAGGGAGTAAATCTACTTTCAGTTGTTTCCAAGCTATTGGCTTTTGTCATGCTAAGCAGATTGTCCAGAATGAGTGGAAGACTGACTCACAAGAAGTAGGCTATTTTTCGTCTAGGACATGGATGCATTAATTATATCTTCACTCTCCACCAAATTCTAGAACACCTCCATACATATCGCAAGCTTACAATCGTTCTTTTTATTGGTATCAAGACCATCTTTGATCCGTCGCACAGAAATGAGGTTTTGTTGAGGAAGAGTGTGCCTGAGAAGTTTATTAATAGCTTGAACGCTCCGTGTTCAAACATGGGTCAGGGTAATGCATACAACCACCTCAGTTTCATTCAAGCAATAGAATTAGGTGGGTTTGACTAATCTTTAACTTTGACGTAGTTGATGTAGGTAATGGTGGTCTAGATCGGTTACTGGAAGAAAGACTTTTCGACGTTGTGTATGCGGATAATGTTTTCTTTTTGTGAGGCGATACTCGAGCCATGCAGTCCACGCTTAATTAATATCCGTCAGTAATAGAATGTGCTTCTCACCTTCTGAGTTCAAAGTGCTTTTATGAGACTGGAAGGAGTCTGTACCTGCGATCACTCTACCATATTGAGCAGATAGGATTAGCCGAGAAGTTCATGTATCTGGGTAGCTGTGCAAATCCTGGTGGTAGGGTGAGTGATAAGATCAATGAACATATACTGGGAACCAGATTGGTTTATGCCAATCTGGGCCATCATTGGCGCCTTCATGACGTTATTCTGGCTGTAAAAGGTCGAATCTACAACGCATCGGTGAGAGCAGCTTTGCTCTATGCTTGTGAAACCTGACCTCTTCGAGTTGAGGATGGAAACGACTCTCTGTGTTAAATCACTGTTGTCTAAAGAATTGCCGATATCCAGTGGCCACACCATGCTAGTAATACAGAGGTTTAGCATTATGTATTCAAGCACAGTGACTATAATTCAGTTCATGTCACCGTCTTAAAACACTGACTTCGGTGGTTTGGACATGTCTTACGAATGCCATCCCAGCGAATTTCACGTCGTGCATTACTTTTCGATGCTGGGACCTGCTGAAATAAGTGGAGCGTTGGTCAGTGCACCACATAGTATCGCGGTGTGAAAAGAAGCTGTACATGATTGGCTTCTGTTAGTCTTTCAAGACCCCCTGGTTGGGGTCCTAGAAACGGCGCGACACAGTGTCTTGAGTTGTTATTAGACGTGGCTCAGAATAGAAGTCAGTAGCGTTCGTACAGTAATTTTTCCCACTTATTTCATAAATGTGAGAGGAACTTGTTTAATTGTTGTATTTTTCCTAAACGAATACCTTATCCTATTAAATGCTACTCGTATTCACCTGTTTTCATTTATTTATACATATCTCCTACTAATTCCTCAATTTCCACAATTTTATTTCTTTAGACGTATGGCCCTTATTTATTTTGGTTCCTATTCTAGTAGTATTTATATGTATTTAAAAATAAAATAGGTGCTGTTATGCTTAAACATGCATCGATTCATAAAATTACTGAGTTGGCTTGATCCATGTTCGATGCAGATTAATTTGTCGGGGTCTGCATTATGACTGTGGTCAATAAAGACATAAGGTGGTGCAGATAAACTCACTCTTTGCTCTACTCTCGATTGTGAATTCCAGCATACCTGTCCCCTCTGTCTTTATGAACCGTATTCTTAATGTTCAGTCTTTCTCACTTTTATTACTGATACATAATTCCGATCTCTGTATCATTCCATCTGGCTATTTTTATCTCATCATGCTTGTGTGGTATGTCAACTGTGGCCAACACAAATATGTGCCAGGGTCTATGCTGATGATAACTGACTGAATACTATGTAGCTGTATAATTCTTAGTAGTCGGATTAGGTTTCCAATTTACGTGTCGAGTTCTGAAACCATCGACGTACATTTCTCCCTTCTGGCTATTGTACACTTAGTTGTGTGATCCATTTTAAATAGGTTTCATTTATCTTTCAATTTGTTCAGCTTGTTTCAATATAACTCACAATGTGTTATTGTTGTTATTTTCTGTATTCATTTGATAGGTCCTTTCCGTCTCGGTCATAGATGGCTATTGTTTGTTGATGTTGTGGGAATAGTGCGCACTGTTTACGAACGCGAGAGATTTTTTATTGTTGATTGTAAGCTACAAATCATTGCAAATTCACATTTTTAATTACTAAGTTTGTTATTAATACTTAAAAGATATTAATTGTGTAAAGTTTTGTAAGTGGACGGTAACTTATTGATTGAGGCGTTCAACTTTTATCCTCCAAGTCTGAGGTTCAACCATCTCTCTCGCCTGCTTCGGTTTGGTTAGCCGGGTAGTATCTTTAGCCGTCACCCGTAGATTGTAACTCATACCCAAGTACCCGGTGAGTGAGATATTTTGTTTTTAGTTGCTTTCTGCATTTCGCAATATTGTCTATGCACAAAACGAAAAATCCTATTATAGGATTTTAATCTATACCTAATTAATCACTTGATTATTTCAGTTTAGACTATGTTATGGTTTTTCAGCTGGTCATAAGCAGTGTTTAACTTATCACAAATTTGTGTTGCTTCAATTTATTCCATAAAATCATATCAGGAAATCAGTTGGAGGCAAAAATGAAAACGATAAAACACTCAAGGTACTGAGAAATTAATGAAAGTGAACAGAAAACAAACGATGGGCGTAAAATAATACAAGGTTGAATATCTTGAAAACTAGTTTTAAACCGTTTTACTTAAAATCTTAATAGATCGATCGGGTTTATTTGGATTCTCCTTCTTAAGTAGTCAAATAGTATTGCATCTAAGATAAAATGTAATTTAAAGATGACAAAAATATATAAATTTAGTCACCTCATGCCCTTGAACTAAAGTTAACTTCAGATTAACATGAGATACCGGGTAAGTTTTCCTGAATGAACATTCCAATTCTAGTTTAAAATTTTTCTTAGCTATAAGCTTATGATTTTGATCAACTCCGATCTAAGCAGTTGGTTATTAATTGACTGATATCCAATTAGGCTTGAATCTAATACGTATGTACTTACTAAGTTGGGTTTACTGTAAATAGTATTCTGTTAGTCTCTAATAGTATTTATTATTTATTATATTTAGTGGACGATGGGACTGGTTGTATAACCTGCACAATATGGCGTCGTGGCTGTTCAAACCTTTTTAATGTATTATCAACAACAAAAAATTCATTTGATTTTGAACAGCATTATTTGTGTGAGCAACTTATCAAGTTATCATGCAAGTCACAACCTATTTCATCTTCAGCTGAACAGTCGTCCAACTTACATGTTGGCCAAATATTACAGCTTAGAGGTCGTTTGAAATGCTTCCGTGGAAAGCTAAAGCTTAATACTTATTTCTGTCGTAAGTTCATTATTATCGGTCATTTCTGTAAATTCCTTCATAAGACTCATAACTGATCGTTTAAACTAACAAGGAGAACATCATAGCATAATATTCTTTTGAATAACTCGCTTTCAAATAAGAAGATCATATATTCGACTTTGGGTCGTACCTTTTTTGCATGTGAACTTGATTGATTTTGTTATCAAGCTTGGAATTAATGGTTCGACATTTACATGGATTGAGCGCAAGGTCAGTTAAAAAACTATCTTACAATACTTCCTATGAGCACAACCATTTCATAACAGTCGGAAGGGAAATATAAGTGATTTTCATAAAGTAATTTAAAAAACTGTAATCGTAGTTGCAGTATTAATAAAAAAGACTAGGTAGAATTCAGTTCTAGAAGAAAAAACGAACCCTCTTGAATAGGAAGTATAAAATGATTTTGAAACTCTGGGCAACTGAGTCAAAATTCAGAAATGGCACATGTTTACAAGTGTTGAAACAGTTTCTTGTTTAAGATCTAAAAGTTCCTACTCTGGGGTTTTGACATTGGATGTTTCAAGACTAGAGTAAAACCAAATGATTTAATAATTTCAATCATGTGGCAATTTATGCAGTCGATCAATTCACAAGTAAAGACTCAGTAGGTTGATAAGGTACAAATCTCTGTAGGTTAGGGTCCCGCTTTTGTATGCATTTTCGAGCTTTTTTCCACAATAACTTTTTTATCAATCACAGAAATCACAATTTCTTTCTAATCTCTCATTTGTGTTCCTTTGATTCACAGGTTCAATCAAGGAGGAAAGTGAATTGTTACATCACATAATTCACAGGTACCGTTTACAGGAAGAAATTTACTCAAATCCATATGATCCTGGTGTTGTCGCAGAAAATATAAAAAAATCTCATGTGGTCGGTTTTGTTCCTATCGATTTATCACTCATTTTATTAAAATTTCAACTATTTAGAGTTCTTAGTATTAAGTTTATCTGGAATAACTTGAGTTAGCAAACAAAATACTTGTTGGTTCTTATTTCCAGTTAATAAACATGGTTTAAAAACGTTTGATTTACAATAGAATTCAAGATAGCCTTTGTAGATCATAATGAGATTTCAGCTCATATGCAGACCTATTACTTTAAGATTGTAGGTCGTGGGTTCATTTACAAATTTAAGCCCTTCTTTATCTGACTTCATCTTTAACATACAAATACTAAATAATAATTATTATGTTAAATATGTTGTTTCTTTCTGTTTCCTAAGTTGTTTCAAACTAAACTTTATTGATTATGGTATGTGCTGTTCGTACTAATAATAATGTAAATTCAGGCCGTTTGCAGCTGCTGAGAAGTCTTGAAATATAATGAATTCATGTTATTTTGTAAATTGTGTTCTTGCTTTGTTCAAATTGATTAAGAGATCAGGATGTATGAAATGGGAAGATGTCTGATTATTCAGTTTATGATAATATTCAAAGTATCTAGTTAATCTTCACTTTTAGTTGTACAGATAATTAGGTTAAGTTAAGTTGTGTTAACTCAAACTCTACAGTATCATTAACAAGGCTTAGCTTAAAATTTCAAGCAAACGCTACATTAGATTGTTAATAATCAAATTAGTGATATATTTGTAATACCCCAATGAGTAGAAAATTAATTTCACACCCACTAACATACACATAAATACACAAACTTGCTTCACAAAAAGCCACCTTGATTGGAATGACATGACATCGGATTGATCAAACCTGTTTCGATTGCACTGAATATTCTTTGCTTTATTCTTTTGTAACTATTTAAATTTATATTGATTTAATTCACTTATTTATTTACTCTGGAAAAGCAACTCACATAAAGTCGTGATGCATCCTAAATATAAATTTTTACTCATTTGGATATTACAAGTGTAGAATTTTTTTGTCGTGAAACTCTACAACTCTAAACTCCGTAGTTAACTGACCTATAGTTTTCATGTTTACACGTTAGAGTACATCTAAGTAGATGTAATTAAACTAAGGGAACAAATTATTCAGTATGTTCAATTATTCTATTGCTGTTAGTATTTCTATTCCCTTGTCTGAAAAAAGCTGAATGCTATTGTAATTAGCTTGAGTTAAGATCTCAAACGAGTGAGATATAACTTGTTTATATCGAACGAGAATATTAGAAGAAATGTAACTATAAGCCAATTTTGTTCAAAGACCCAAAATAGTATTTCGTTTGTTTAATATTCGATGTAAATAAGTCAAACCCAGTGACGGCATTTCCTGTATTTGTTTTCTATTTTATAGGTTAATTTAGCGAATTCACTTGTAACAGAATGTTGTAGAATCCTAGTACAGGATAATGTCCAATTGTTTACCAAATTAGACTTATGTTTACATCCGAAAATAGTTGAATCTGTAACAGCAAACTGGAGATCTTTGACTATGGTAAGTTACTTTAATTACAATTCTTTTTGTAGCTTCACATTTCAGACTGATTTGGGATAGACAACTAACAAAAGTATCCAGGACCTCTAGGTCTTTGGACAAGGACATAATTTTCAGACGCCGAGTTCTCATTCATTGCTTTTTATTTCTAACTTCAATCAATTCACGATATTGCTTGACCATCATTCCTTTCCATTAGATATATTCGTCTCATACTACGTAGAACAAAACGACTGTTTAGTATTTTCTGGTTTTAGTGGTTGCCTAATTGAAGTCAGCCTGTGATGTGAAATCTTAAATTCAACAATCTCTGTTACACCCTAGAATAACGAATCTGTGTTTTTATTATAAACGAACAGAGTAAATTAATGAAATCATAACGAAGTGTCTCTGCATGTGATTAGTTTAGTTTGATTAGGAACTAAGACATTGCCAGTTAGCAAGTATTCTTAGAAGTGGATTATTCTGTCATTTCTATACATAAACAAGTTACAGAATTACTCAGTAATATCTGAGTCAATAAGAAAGTAGAAGAAAAATGTAGTGTCCAACCATGTAGTTCTTATAAAAAACAGTTTTAAGCAGCCTAATACGTGTAAAAGATTAGATGCCTGAAATTATTTAGATTAGCCAAATAATAAAGTAAATGGAAAGGATATAATAAAATGTTTGTTTATTTATTTGAACACAAATATTGATACAAAGGGGCACCAAATACACATGCGCCACACAAGTCACTTGATTTGTGTATGGGCTGTGATACTGTCACTTGGGATTCTATGTGTGTGTATTTTCCTTTGTGTTGTTGATGTTTCGGTACCATTTTTATGAACGCAAATTTATCTAAATGGTAACTGTCAAGCTAATGAACTTGATCTTATCGGTCTTCAAGTGTTTGGGTTATGAGCTCTGGACTATCTGAAGATATATTTATTCATTTTAAACATTAGCACAGAGGGGCACCAAAATATATATGCGCTACATAAAGTAGTTACTATAAAATCACTGTCCGAGCGGGCGCCCAAGTCGAGGCAGATGGTTTTTTAGGGAGTCACTCATCGAGCCTTTAATCTAGAGGTCTGATCCACAAGGCAGTGAAGCAACGTTAGGAGGTGTAGTCCCATGGTAGCCGGTGACCAATAATTGGTTCATACGCCATTTGTTCCTTCAGGATACTGGGGCCCATGTGCACCATTGGTTTGGAATCAGGATTTTCTCATTCTCCAAGGTGGATCCTCCATATCCACCAACCCAATTAAAGCCCCGAACATTCACTTCTATGGCAGTGACGGTATACTCAAGGCCATGTGAGAGTATTTCGAGAGGGAGAGCTAACTCTCCCAACCCTCGGACGTACCATGCCGTTTGGGTGCAATAAATAGATGTAAGAGATAATGAGATATTGTTAATTAACACAAACGTGGATAATGAATGGATCTACACCATTATGATATATACTTGAACCATTTTATTAAGTGATATTAAACTCCTAAAGTAAACAAGTCAGTCAATTTTAATCGCATAAATAGCTCAGATTATTGATAAGGAAGTTCATGGATTGGTAGAATATTCTTGTTTATGATACTTACCATAATTGAGAAAAGTAAACTAGAAATCCTTGAAAAAGTTTTTGAACAGCATTTCAACATCATTAAACTCTTAGGTGGTCAAGCAACAAACCTACTGAATAACAAAAAAGAATATAGGTTTCAATATAAATATGTATTTGTGTTGGATTGATGCAGAAATTTCCTCGAGAAAAGCCAAAAAAGGCTCTGAAAACCTCTTATCCCATCAGCATTCAATAAAAATTTTGCCGGAAACGTCTGGAAAGTCACATGTTGCGTTCCTGATTGGATGATCACCCTTACTGCTACTATGTCTATTAGCGTTCCAGAATTTTCCGGAAGCCCAAGGTCATCTTAAACGCTACGAATACCCCAGGTTTTCTGTACATAAACGAACCTTGGAGTAAAGTGTTTCGGCGCAACTATAATTTATTAACGAAACAATCAGATATAAGATAAGGAGTAACGAATTTCGGCGCGAAATTCATCCATACATTTGGCTAAACAGAGTTTTGGCACTATAGCTTATGTCACTTCGTGATGAAAACCCTAAATCTAATTTTAACCCTAACCATCAACTGTAAATGAGAATTCTAACTGCTTTATAACCCTCTTTTAGTCCTGATCAGTAGGTGTCCACTCTCATGGTCACATCAGCGTCGCTCAAGGTTGTCCATAAATTATAATCTCACCGAGCTTAGCAACCGAATCTAGCGTTCAGTTAGAAGACTTATCAATTTAGTCACAGTTTGTTGCCATTTATGTGTTGCTTGCAACATTTTGTTTTCATGAACATGTCTGAATTGCTTATTTGGAAGCATCTCCCTCTCATACGTATTCGTTTGTTGCAATATTATCAAACTGTTCCTTTAAAGACATTATCAAGGAAATCCCAGATACATTACATGACGGACACCACAACTTAGTGCATATTATACTAATGGAAAGTTCGAGAGCTCTTCAAACTGTGTAACTGAGAACTGATGTAATAGCTTACTTCATACAAATACATGGTGTCCATCAAATGTTCGTACATAATGAAACTATCACCCACAACTCATGTAAAGCATCCACATTCCTGCTCACAAGTTTCATTTATCGAAATGATTTTCTAATCCAATATAATGGAATATTTCTTGATCTCTATCTAGTATTTTCGTGACATTCTGTTTGCATATCTCTAATATGATAGCTGACACATCTCTTGACATTATTATTAGATGTAGATCCAATTAAACTTGGACTGATTGATACAACCATATGATCACATTTCCGCTCCTCATTAAACTGTTGTTTGCTAACAATATATGTTTTATTAGCAAACTCTTCACCTAAAAATTGTATACTATCGAATTGTTATTTATTTACACTTTCATGTGTTGTTACTGTTGTAAATTCAAACAAAATATAATTAGTTATTCGTTGAAGTCAAGATAGATTTCTAGTTTCATACGGCTTTAATGCATGTTCTGAGATATTCTACGGTCTGTATCAGAAAACTTTTTCCCCTGATGTCTATATTTGTTTATAAATTGATTAACTACCTTTCCATCATTCTTTTTTTTATCGTTAAATTGCATTTTTACACTATTTTTTATCTCATTGATAATCTAAGGCATATGATGAATCTGAAACGGATTATCTTCGACAAAGTTTCATTGAAGTTGATGAAGGTGAGCAGAGTAGTGCAGCTGAGAATAAAGTACTCAATCCTAAAAAGCTACAACTTATAGTTGCAAGTTTGATTGAACGATTATTAATTGAGGGTTGGATTTTTCCAGCTACTCAATCTATTGGAGGTATGCGGACTTATTATGTAAGTTACGAGTATTTTTGTCAAGTTTTAAATAGTTAAAACTGAGATTCTGGTAGACAAGTCGTTTATATTGTTTTTCTGCATTATTAGAAACGATATTTGAAAGTAGTGCTTTAGTGTATGATTCATTACTTGAAAGCCGATTGTCACAGATATGTGACAAAAAGGGCAATTGAGTTACCTACAATTATCAGCTTAGCGTTGAACATGATACGGTGACCGGTCTGTTGGAACCATCAAACTTCAGTAACAAAAACAGAGTGACTCGCTTAGCAATAGTTGTTTTGTAGTGCTAACAATTTATCTACCTAATTAGTCTTTGTATTTTCGTGGGTTTGTGTTAAGAAAAATGAACGTACCATGGATCCACTTTGATTCATCTCTGTGATTACTTGTACGTCGACTGACATCTGTTTGCCGAAAAATGATCATTAGTATTATCATTTTACATATAAATGGTTGAGTTAATGTTATTGATGTTTACCCTTTGTATCATTTCGGCCACGAAAACAATTCCAAGTTCGTACAGTCTAGGAATTTCCATATAAAATAGTAAAATGCAACTCAACTATTACCACGTACAAGTCCACACTCTACTTAACTAGAGTACCAATGTTCTCAGAAAGACATCCGAACAGTAAAAATTGTCCACAAAACTTTATTGAAGATGAATAGCGGTCATTCACTGTTGAAAATTTCCAAGGTGTTATAGTGCCTAGTACTATGCCAAACCCATATGGTTTGTTCTAGCTTCCTTGTAGACCAATCTACTTATTCTCCTTGAGTTACATTACGACCATATCAATTACTCACCTATTCCGTTATTCTCTAACGCGAATTAAGTCGATAATTATAATACGACGGTAGCCGGGATGTATATTTCGTTAACATCATGATACGATCAAATCGGAGTTAGCTCAATGTAATATAAAAGTATGTCTTGATTATCAATAAGTTAAATAGATTATAAACTGAAATTTATTGGAATATTCCATATTTTTCCTGAGAATTCCTTACTCTAGATTTATGGCATTGGATAAAGCAATAACCATTTTGTACTCAGTAATTGACTAGCGTAGGGTTTCGGTGTTAATGTTCATAAACGGCTAGTTTGTTTGTAATAAGTAAATTTTTATCATTTACAAATTCACTGAATTTTAGTTTGTTCAAGAGAATAAGAAATTACTCGATGCTGTTTATGGGATAATTTCTTCTCAAGGTAATTTCTGCATGCATTGTAATTTTTATGTTGTTAATCATCAATTAATAGATCATTGAATGTAATCGGAACTGCGTAATAAAATGGTGATTATTGTTAGCATGTATGACAATCAGTTTTAAATATTTTTATCCTGATTAAGGTTTTTAGTTGTATAACAAATTCCAGAATAGCTTGTACTGCTCATTACGATAGTCGATTTTTTATTGCTACATATACTGTTTGTGAATTACATCATTGTTTCATTCTGAGATAGCTTTCTACAAAGTCGATATAACTGTTCTATTACTTGCTTCAACCATGCTTGAAAAGGTTTTTTTGCGATTCATGGAAACCTCAGACAGTGGTTTTAATATTAAAGTTTGAGGCATTTAATGAATTAACAGTCTTCTTTACATTTAATCAATGTACATAACTAAGTTTGTTATCTATCATTTTTCGTCTATTATTGTGATAAAAAACAGTTTTCTACCTGTACCTTTATTGCTTTCGGCACTTCAGTTTGCATAAGGGCTCTAAGCAACTGAGTCATAAAAAAATATATAATCACAAAATTCGCACTTTTCCCATCAACCAAAAATATATTCTTCAGCCGTTAGGTAAAAAAGATTATTGATATCCTATTTCGCTTTATACAGTTAAACAAAAAATCTAGACGTCAGTTTCTCGATGAAATATACATACGGTTGAAGATTAAACCCCATAGATAACAGTATACAGGGTTTGGTTTGAATTTCATTCTGATATGAGGTTGCTTGTAACAAAATTTCCAATCTAGGAAGGGTAATCGACCTATTTGATATGCTTACTTACTTAATTACGCCTTTTGCCCCTCGTGTATGAGCACAGGCCACCTACTAACATTCTCCATCGAACTCTGTCCTGGATAATCCTTCCCAGTTGCTATTCATCTTTTTGATGTCTGTTTCCACTTCTCGACGCAGCGTGTTCCTTGGTTTTCCTCCACCCTTCTGGATTGTCTCGTGATGCAGTCTGGTGATTTCCGAAATGTATGCCCTACCCACCTCCAGCGTCTTTCCTAATTTCCTGTTTAGCTGGAAGCTGAATTGTTTTCTTCCACAGTAGGTTATTTGATATGCATATATATCTAACTAGACTATTAGATGAAAATTTTTCGGGAAACGCAAGAGAGTATTCACTAAGTAGCCATTATTCCACAATTTTTCAAGTGTTATATCGAACTTCTACTTCTTTTTATTTCATTTTTAGGCATAAATAAAGAAATATCACTGCATAATATACTACACAGTATTCGACAACGGTCGTTTCCTGATAGTTTGCAATTAACACGCATAACCTTAAATGCACTAAAACATTTATTGAATCAATTGGAATCTGAAAGTCGTATATATCAAAGTAATTTTGGGTGTTATAGTGTAGCTTAAATGTGTAAAAAAAATTGTTTGAACTTGAATTATGCGTACAGTACTTTTTTGACAGCATTCTACTACCACTGTTTTACTAAACATTCACATGTTTATATGTACTTTACTCATGATGGTATATTAGCAGGCTTTAAATTCATTGTTATAGTGTACAGATCACAAATAAAATTATTTGCTGTTCAAAAGTCTTCTCTCATTTATGTTTGTCGATTCGAGCTTTAGACTATAAATACTATGCCTCCCCATGTACTAGTTGGTATATTCATGACTCAAATAAGGCTCACATGGTAAAGAAACGAACTAATGAAGAAATGATCATATATATTAACCGAAATAGTAAACATGTAGAAGATCCATGTCAGGATGTTATATATTTTATTTGGTGCGTCAATCTAAGCAACATTATAGCGGTATGAAAAGGACTAGCCATAATTTTTATCGAGCTCAACCCTTTCTAAAGCATCTTGATCCCTTTGAAGTCGGACTTGTTTCTAACGTATGTAACGCTGTCGCCGACCTATTCTTTAGATCAACCGAGGATTTGGGGATATGTTTCAAATGCTGGCTAGGATAAGTTTAATAAAGTTTCAGAATAGTTAGCAAAATGCTAATTTTTTCCGAACATGGATTGACGTAACAAATATGCTAGTGAACAAATCTTTCATGAGCGTCGCTGTAAATCATTAAGTTTTATTTTTAAGGGATTACATATAAACCGACTATGTTACATTAATTAGACAGTTACGTCATTAGTATTGTGTATGTTCTAGAATTTTGGTAGACGAGGTGTTGAGAGGGGAGTGCTTGGCCTGTCATAGGTTATTCCAAAATAGCTCAATTATTTAAGGAGGGAAGTAGTGTTTTACTTTCTTGAACGCAGAAACGTGATTTAATCTAAATAAAAAACGGCCCATTTTTGTATTGGTTGTCTACTAATAGAAAATTATAGTTATCAAATATCAATCCATAGTAATTGAAATTAGCAAGAAAATCATATAAACACAGGACAGTGAAAACGTACATATCCTCTTAAAATAACAAAACAAAATGGACTAAAGAATCAGAATAAAAGTGATAAATCAAATAAAGAAGAAAACAACAAATCTGTGATCATATGACTAGTATGGCAACAAAAAGAAATATGACTAAATGACTTCAGGTAAGTTATCTATTTCATGTCACATGAATCAATGCTAAATTAAATGAATAGTGTATAATCAAAAGAAATAAACTAAAAAATATCCTTTGGTTGTTTTTTTGCTCGTATAATCAGTGAAATTCATGATTATAATAGTTTTAATTACCTGAATGTGACATTTTTAGTACTAACTGATCTCATTTTGGCTGGTGTGTAATAACTGACTGGTAGTTTACTGCCTCCTTATTCACTATTGCTTCATGATTATTGTCTTCAATTATCACTGCATCACCTCTAATGTTAGTAACAGTAGTTGTATTGGTGTTAATATCAGTATCGTTAGGTAGACAACATGTTGGAGGTGTCGTCAAAGCTTGTCTGTAATGTGCTCCAACTAGTATACAGATTATTGGTTTACAAGCTGCAAACATTGTATCCAATAATTGATTTATCATTCTAAATACTTCTGGATCATAAGTGATGTAATTCTCAGTTGAAATTACGTGTAGTAAAAATTTTGGGATTTTACAAATCAACAAAATTAGTCCAATACAAACTGCTGTTATAACATTAGCATTTTCACGTGTCTCGTCTAATTGAGGCAATTGGAAGAAAAGATAGGATAACTCCTGTTCAATTGGATCCAAGTTTGTGAAATTACCGTTATTACGGTTGGTACTGGTAAATGATTTTTGAAAGGTATCATTCTTGTCAGGAGTAGACTGTTTTGTATTTGTTACTTTTCCAGATTTTTCTTGATTATTAAAGTCAGATGACCAGGATTTAGATAGATCCTCCGATTTTACACCTTCACGACATTCTTTACCACAGACACCTGTTCGACAGACACACGCACAAGCAGTTTCATTGCATAAGCTAGCTACGGCCTTCCACTTTGATGTATGTAAATTTACCATTTTTAAAACGATAGTTGTTATTAACAATCCACAAGCCAAATACGGTAAAAACATTTCAAGCGGAACTTTCAACCAATTATCCATTATATCCCTTTTTTAAAACATTAAAAAAGATTTGATCACTAAACAGAAATTTAATTGTTTATACTATTTGTGTATGGCTTGTTAATTATGAGCTTATTTAACTAGTATCCGTTATAAGTTGGGGTACAAATCCAGTACAAAAATACTGACGATGTGAATTTGGAGATATAAAGACCGTGATTTTCTTCGACGATATACACTTACAAAAATTGAGTGCTAGGAAATATACAACCCACGAAAACTGAACAACGGACCTACTGAACATCAGTGTGGTATCAGTTTGTTTAATGGCTGAACTGAAGTGCTCAGCTAACGAAATCCAATAATCAATCATTTTCACTCACCACTTAATGACGAGTATGTAAAACCTCGGATGGATGGAAAAAGCAGAAAGCTAATTTATGATAAGACACTAGGATAAGAAACAGTCCTGGCTTCCTAAATAATTAGAACAACACATATAAGCGCTTATATGTGTTGTTCTAATTTTCACAATGGGAATCTTCAATATCCTAAATAATCCACAAAAATCATCCAACCAGGTAACTTCAGAAGTTATGACATACCTCATAACAGATGATGTTAATCTTACCATTGCTTTCTGTTGTGCTGTTTATAAACAGTGTAGTGGCGTTTCTTGACCAAAAGGAATCTATTTTAATTACGTTTTTATAAACCCTTTAATTCCAAATCTATTAAAATTACTATTTCTATCTTCTAATTCTCTACAATATTGTCGTCTCACTTTGGTTCGCACGTTTCTTGATGTACTATTGTAGTAAGACGTTAACTGTGTAATAATAACACGGGTATATTCTTCGATACATTGTTTTATCATGATCAATCTAAATGACATTTCTACTTTATTTTGCTACTCTGCTCGTAATTAACTGGATGTCACAATAACAACAGAGCAGCCTTTAACTAACTAAGAGATCAAGTTTTATACATGTACTGCTCGTCGATAATAACAGATCCTAATGTCTGTTAAACAGTTTTTCTTGAAGTCAACACCCCAGGTCTCTATAAAGAATCATTTTATGAAAGTCAACATCGAAATACAACATATATTGACTTGTTTTAAATACATCTAGTCTTACTTTTGCTATGAATCTTCAATTAGTCATCATTTCAACATATTTCTTTTTTCAAGTTGCAACAATCTAATTTAGTGTGATAGATTATGCATTCCTTCTCAGTTTGTGTGAAAAACAAAATTTTCTTGAAATGCATCAATTTCTCAGTTATAAATACTAAGTTTTTTGATAGTACACAAAAAATTTAAAAGCATTTTGAAGACAATGTTCTAACATAAGTCACACATTATAAAAAGATATTGAAACGCCCATTTTTAAATTTCGATGTTTTTAGTCTCCTTATGGATAATAAAATTGACATAATACAAGGTATTAGTATTAACTGCTTTAATGAATTCCCTTAGTAATGGTCCAAAATACATTTTAGCGATGTATACACACTTCAATTTGCTTGAATCATTCGTTGTGCAAACTGTGAAGAAAAAAGATTATAAGCAATTGCCACTGACAATAAGTATGAGGCGTTATTTACACATTTATTTGAACACATAAATATCGGTAAAAAGGGGCACCGAATACATATGTGCCTCACAAGTCACTTGATTTGTGTGTGCGCTGTGATACTGCCCGGGTACCCGTCAGTTTGGAATCAGGGTTTTCCCACTCTACAAGGTGGACCTTCCAGATCCACTAACCCATTTAAAGCGCCGAACATTCGCTTTTCATCTTCTCAATTTCGTGAACAACATCCCCATCGCGTGAAGGCAGTGAGTAGGACTTCCCTGGCGGTGACTGTATATGCGTGGCCATGTGAGAGTATTTCGAGAGGGAGAGCTAACTCTCCCAACCCTTGGTCGTACCAGAGGATTTGGGGGCGTTAATCATGTGTATTCACTACAAAATATTTCCACAAAGAGTTGCGAAATATATTCATTTAGAAGATACAACGCGTCACAATATGACAAGAGACTTATAATATTAAAAATATAATCTAATCAAAAAATTACTTCACGTAAGAAGCGCTGTAAACTTTAGTTTGGAAAAAAACTCTTTAGAGCTATCAAATGAAGTGAATATTCGATTTGATTTACCGAAACATCTCCGTTTTGCCAAGTTGAGTGAGCAAAACACGTACAACCTTTTTATCTGGATATTCCACATAAGTATATTCAAAAAATTTGCATCCCATATAAGCAATACATAGGAAAAACACCGCTATTACGATTTTCACGGATTCAAGTTGTGAACACAATGATTTGGAATGTGGGCCCAAATTCAAATAAAGTAGACGATTGATTAGTAATGCTATGGTTAACCAAACCTAAAATGAAAATTTTAAAAAAGTGGGAAGAATTACTGAGAATGCCAGTCAATAGGTACTATGTGACTTAGACTTCATAGCTATTGGAGGATGTCTAAAATGATCAGATTTCTCGTCTAAATTGAGAACTCTTTAACAGTTCATGCCCTAGACTAAGGCTTTGTAGTGGATATGTCAAAATACAACCAAGATAACTAATTTATATCTTATGAGAGTAGTTGGAACTGAACTAAATCATCATAAAGCGAAGTATTTATTACTACTTTTGACTTGGTTAGGTGTCTATTACAATGTATATTTTACAAAAGTGACGTTGTTTGAGACCTAATTTTTGAATAAATGTAAATCCAAATACATGTTTTAAAGAAATTCATTGCAATAATGCACAAGCGTTGCTGAGGACTTCTTACTGTGACAACATCTATCGTGATGAATATATATATTGTTAGTTATTTACATATTCTTTGCTTATTATTATTTATATTTCATAGTTCAGCTAGAAA